GAATGTTCTTGTTTAGCTTGCATACATGAGAAGGGAGGTGTTACACAAACATAAGGTAATCAGCAAGCCCCCTACTTTAGGTCACCACGTGTCAGTCACCCCTGATTAAGAACCACATGGTGGGCCGGGCGTGGTGATTCATGCCTGTAATCCCAGCACTTTGGGAGGCCAAGGCGGGCAGATCACCAGAGGTCAGCAGTTCGAAACCAGCCTGGTCAACATGGTAAAACCCCATCTCTACTAAAAATACAAAAATTAGCCGGTGTGGTGGCAGGTGCCTGACTCATCTCAAAAAAAAGAGGAAAAAAAAAAAAAAAAAAAAACCACATGGTGGAGCATTCAGTGATGCCCTGAGTGTGTATGAATCAAACTAATTGGAATTAATCCTTTCCTTGGTGCAGTGGGAAGGGTGGCTTCTGGAGTGAAAAGGCTTACCAACTAGGTTCACTTTTTTTTTTTTAATGAGGGTCTCACTCTGTTGCCCAGGCTGGGGTGCAATGGTATGATCACAGCTCACTGCAGCCTCAACCTCCTGGGCTCAAGAGATTCTCCCACTTCTGCCTCCTGAGTAGCTGGGACTACAGATAAGTGCCACTACTCCTGGCAAATATTTGTGTTATTATTTGTAGAGACAAGTTTTTACTATGTTGCCCAGGCTCGTCTCAAACTCCTGGACTCAAGCATTCTCCCACCTCAGCCTCCCAAAGTGCTGGGATTACAGGTGTCAGCCATCACACGCAGCCTGGGTTAACTTTTGAAGCAAGATTTTCTAACTTTGATTCCTCATCTAATAAGATACCTTTCAGGATTATAGTGAGGCTTCATGGAATAATGCATATGCAAGCAATGTGTGTGCTCATAGGTTCCATACAAATATCAGGTATTGTTTGCCTTGGAAGCTATTCTCGGTGTAAGAATAAAGCAACCTTTTTATCTACTTAGTGGAACAAACAAACAGCCAGACATCCTCACCATTGAGGGAAGACCAAAGAAAACCCTCCAAAGGCACAGAGATATTTGGAGATATTTGTTTCCCCAGCCTTTCTGTCTTGTTCTGCACAACCCAACTGTTGAGCTGCAGAGCAGCTGCAAGTCAGAAGGAAGTCCTTAGCTAGACCTCCAGCTCCTGTAAACACCTCTGCCTCTCCGGGGTCACACAGTGGCCCTCTTTGTGCAGCCATGTGGCAACTCAGCGAACCAGAGGCTCCTTAACTTGAAACGGTCTAATTTTGATCTGCTTTCTCCATAGGAAGAATGTTATGATCAGAAATTATCTTCCTTTCCACTGGCCCAGTGTACAGCTTTTTCTAAGAATGACCATGAAGGAGTTCAGGAAATGCCACCCAAAATATAACACTTTGGTGTGCTGATTACTTTGAACTGAGGACACTTGGGGAACAGCAGATGTAGGCAGAGGTATTCTCTGAGCTCTCCTTATCAGCCTAAAGACAGATCCTCCAGAAGGAACTCAGTTGTCACGAATCTTCTCCCGGAAATCTTATCAACTGGGAAAGATTAACTCAGATCCCAAGAGGGGAGACTGGAGGTGACACCACACCCAGACAGACTGTCACCTCTTTTTCCGAGGGCTGCTGTGAGACAACTTGTGTTAACTGAGAATTTTTGTGTGCTTGACAAAACCACCTTTATTCACCATTTATTTCTTCCCCTTACCTCCCGTAATTCATGTCGCCACCACCCCCCAGAAACCCTGAACCCCCATTCTTTTCTGTATCTCAGGATCCTATGTGAGCTTTCATCATCTGACCACTTTGAGTCTCATATTTGTGGCACTCCCATGTGTACATTCATAATTAAATACAGTTTTCCTCCTGTCAATCTGTTTATATGTCAGGTTAATTTGTAGCCCAGCCATAGAACTGAGAAAGGTGGAGGGAAGTCATTTTTCATTCCCCTACAATCACAGTTACCCCCATTTAATCGACTTCCCAAAACAATTGCTATACAATATTCATAGAAAGTTGTTTGTGTTTAATAAATCTATGAAGGTGTAAAAATTACCTGTCTCCTAAACTTTAATTTGTATTATGGGTGAGGCTATCCATGTTTGTACCAGCAGATGGGAAGGGACTTTCAGCAGAGAAATTGTATTCGAGTTAGGAGCCTGAGAGGGGTAGCAAAGCAGGAGGAGGGGCCACTATGCCTGAAGCAGAAGGAGGTCTCTGATGGCTTGTTTAATGTTGCCTCTGTGAGGGCAGGAGCTCTGTGCCTGTCCTAGCCATTTATTCTCAATATACTGTACCTAGTAGCAGTAGCACTCAATTAAAAATGTGTTGTATGGACTTTGCCTGGGACCAGCAGGAATACCCCATTGGAAGGGAGCAGGGAGCCTCTGAGTGACAAGGTTGGAGAAAGCCCTCTGAAGAAGCAGGTCTGAACACAGATATCAGAATGCAGGAAAGCTGCAAGAAGCCTGAGCTGGCAAGCGTGAATCATGAATTGCTGGCTGTTTTTAATCTTGACTATAATATAGTCAGGAAGTAAGAAAGACCTTCATGTACTAAATGCTGAGTGTCTCGCCAACTTTAGAGGGACCTACTCGAGCATTTTATAAATATTAATAGAGTCTGACTGTGGACTGCTTGCCAATGGCCATGCCGGGTGGGAGCAATTACTGGTCCAGTCCTGATATGTGTGAACTGTTCTGCAGTTACCGGAAAACTTGCTCAGGCCTTGGAAACTTTATGCCCTGGAGATTGGGAAGAAGAGAATGTTTGACCTTATCCTCATGCAAAGGGAACATTTAGAAAGTCCTTAGGGTGCAACATGGAAACCACAGGTCACTGAGAAAGGGTGTCATGTTCGTATTCTGGAGTCTGGGGGCCTCAGAACCAGCGCCAGCTGGAAGGAGAGCCCAGTATAATTTGCTGCAGGGAACAAAATACATATATATGTCCAACTTGCTGTGAGTCAGAGCACTGCACACTGTTCAGGGTGAGGTTGCCCACTTCCTCAGTTGCATTTCAGAGGCTCTGTTAGTAAGTGCTGGCCTGGGAGCACAGAAAGGGGTTGGGCCAGGCCACTGGGTGTGAGCAGAATCTAAGAGACCCTAGGCCTCTCTTTTGGGTGGGGCAGGGATAACTGAGGAATCTGAGGAAAAGGTAGCTACTCTGGGAGTGTGTTGAAATGAGCTTGTCCAAGCCTTAACACAAGGCAAGGCCACCCTGCCCTGCCAAATGCTTCATCCTCCCAGTTTTCTGTACTGCTAGAGCTTCCTTATTCCTAGGGAAATCCTGTGATGGCTGTCACTAGTCTTTGCATTCGGCTCTGACACTAGTGGTGCAAATTGCCCAGGGACTCTAAAAAGGGCTGGTGCCCATAGCCCCACCCAGACCTGCTCAATCAGAACCCTTGAGGCTCATTGACCAGTTGTTGGGGAAGTGCAGAACAAACAGGTAAACAGGGAATTGCAATTCACTGTGCTGTATATGATCCCCAAGGATAAAAATACTAGCAGCTGCAGTTGATGGAATGTCTTGGTCCTATGCAGAATACTGATATGCAACGGTAAAGTGAATCCCCCTAAAAATCCTTTGGGATGTGAAGGTTGCTTATTAGGCTGATTCAAAATTCTGCATGCAGTTAAAAGCACAATTTTATTTGTACATTTGACCCAAAAGGTCCTCTGACCACAGAGGCTACAAGACCTACCCAAGTCCTGGAACTCAGCCTTTGGAAATATTCTAAGTCTGGTAGAATTCAGTGTGGAGCACCGTGGTGCCCACATGATGGATGCCCTGGAGTCTGGGTTGCTAGTGTTTTTTTGCAGCTTTGTCTGGTCTCGGCCTTTATGGCAGAATTACATTATTCAGCCGCAGCCTTTCCAAAAGGTTGAGTCAGCCTGAGTTTGCTGCTGGCGCCGTGGAGCCCTAATACTTTGCTGAGCCCTCGCATAGCGCCGGGGAGGCACACCTACTGTCCACCTGCTCCCATGAGTCATAAAACTGCCACACTGCTGCCAGGCCTGCCAGCCCTGCATTTTCCTCCAGTTGCCACCCTGATGAGAATGAACTTAGCCATATAGGTCAGGGCACCAGGCAGCACTTTTCCCCCAGCCTGCCTTCCTCTTGCAATGTGCTATTGGACAACCAGTTCGTAAAGCAAGGGCCAGGATGTTTCCATTGCTTTATACCAGGTGGCTAAGGAGAGAGGGCAGCAGGGCAGCCTAGAAGCCAACAACCCAGGCTAGAGAGGAGAATCAATCCACGAACATATGATGGAGTAACAGAATTAGCAAGTGCCCAGACCATCATGATGAGACCAGGGAGAGGTCAAAGGAGGGAATAATAAAGTTTCATTAATTACTTCAGACTGTAGGCTACTCATGTATCCCATTTGACATTTACTGTGTATCTATCACAGAGAGTCTCCACTGAAAGGTTTCACTCTTTCATGAATAAAGACTTCCTTATGTGCCTAACACTTTGAAAACGATTCCACATCATGACAGTACCTAAAAATAAGCGCCCTTTTTTCAAAGTTCTCTAGAGGAGCTCTCTTCTCCTTTTCTGTTGCCAGGACTTTGATCAGCCTAAGAGTTGGGTGCAAGAGCCCAAAAAAAATGAAATCAAACCTTCTGTGAAAGTTGGTAGCAGTAATATTAAACTGATATGTAATGTGCCTCCCATAGCAAATGCTCACTTTTGCCACAGGTGCCCTAACTACTACAAGTGTTTGCATATTTCTTTCCTCTTAGGAAATCCTAGAAAAGTCTAGCTTTATGTTATATGTTGGGGTGCATCGATTAAACTGCTAGTGCTGGGTTTCTGCAAACTAAAGATTTATGTAGGTGCTCAAATGGATGACAAACTTAGATACCTAGGTCACCGCTCAAATTTCTAAGGGGCATTTTAGTAACTGCCTCCAAGGAGCTGCAATGACTGGGAAAATCCATCTATTTCCCTTGAAGTGGAACATACTATTATGAATGTTTAAATAACTTAAAGATGCCTGTTACTTCAAAAAAAAATTCTCCTCAGATTTCAGGTAAAAACAAAAATTGAAGATGTCCAGCAAAACAGCAAGTACCAACAATATAGCCCAGGCAAGGAGAACTGTGCAACAGTTAAGATTAGAAGCCTCCATTGAAAGAATAAAGGTAAGAAGCCCCGACTGGATAACATGTGCTTTCTACTCAGTTCCCCCTGCTCCTGGGAGGCTGGACCACTTGCCAGAGAAGATAATACCATTTCATTCGCTTGCTTCCAGGATTTTTCCAGAACAGGCTGAGAGTCTCAAAATTTTAACTTTCATTTTCCTATCTAGCATGAGCCTCACTTCAAAAGTGTCTGCATTAGCCTCTCTGTTTGTAAAACTCGGAGACAGGATTTCCTGAGGACCTGTCTCCCCTGAATGAACATGGTCAAGTCCGTTGATCCCTGTGTTCTAAAGTGGGACAGGGGTTCCAAGTAGACTTCATCAACACCCTAGTCATTCCTCTGGAATTGTAGTGTTCTAGAGTTATCAGTGCAGCTGAGGCAGCTTCGCATAACAAGTCAACAGTCTAGGTTTCCTTTTTAGGGAAATGAAGCTTTTAAATGTGTTTGGCCCTCAGTGACCACTTTCTGTGCCCAGAGTAATAATGCCAGCTTTAGTTGAGATCACATAGAGAAACTGGAATGCATTTCTTACGAAGTCTTTTCCCCTGAATCCCAAGAGAGAACTAGGCAGTGAGTGCCCTGGAATGTTATGACTAGTTCTTCCTTGAAACTGAAGCAGTTGGCCGGGCGCGGTAGCTCATGTCTGTAATGCCAACACTTTGGGAGGCCAAGGTAGGCAGATCACCTGAGGTTGGAAATTCAAGACCAGCCTGACCAACGTGGAGAAACCCCTGTCTCTACTAAAACTACAAAATTAGCCAGGCATGGTGGAGCACGCATGCCTATAATCCCAGCTACTCAGAAGACTGAGGCAGGAGAATTGCTTGAATCTGGGAGGTGGAGGTTGTGGTGAGCCAAGATCGTGCCATTGCACTCCAGCCTGGGCAACAAGAACGAAACTTGGTCTCAAAAAAAAAGAAAGAAACTGAAGCAGTCACCTGATCCATTCCTCTGGTCCTGGAGATAGTCACCTGTCTTTCCAGCATGAGGCTATCTGGGCTATACTAGACAGGGCTCAGCTGCCCCATTGCTCTTTGCGTAGGGCAAAGAGATCCTATTCTGTAGGATCTCCTTCCCAGACTTCTGAAACAGGGCATGATATTTTCCCTGTTTAATTCATGCCAGAGTAAGGTGCTGCCTCTTCCCATGCTGGTTTAGTCTCTCTTTTTACTTCCGCAAGCCCAGTCTCTAACAGTAAATCTTAAAGCTCCACGACTTGGCTCCAGAGTTTTGGCTCCAAGCCCATCGTTCAGTTCTTAAAGTCTGTTCTGCATTCCAATCTGTTTTTATTTTTTTTTTTGCTGGGGGGGAGGTAGAAATTAAGATACAACCTTCCCTTGATTCACATATGCTTTTTCTCACCTGGCCCCTAACTTTTTATTTTGAGACATTTCAAACCTGCAGAAGAGTTGTAACAACAAACATTTATAAACTCTTTACCAGGATTCACCAGTTGTTAACATTTGACCACATGTACTTGCTTGCACTCTCTCTCTCCCTCCGTCTGTACACGAATACACACAAAACATATATAATGTCTTTTTTTTTTTTTTTTTTTTTGAGACGGATCTCCTCTGTCGCCAGCGGAGTGCGTGGGATCCACTCACTGCAACTCCCCCCGGTTCCCTCCTGCTCAGCCTCCTATGCTGGACACCCGCCACTCCCCTGTTTTTTTTTTTTTATAGACTTTATTTAGCAGTGTCTGATTTATTTATCTGTCTCTCAATCTATTACATTGACCCCCTATGTCTTCTTTAAACCCTCGAAAGTTATTTGCAGTTCAGGATTATCTAACAAGAATACCTAACACACAGTCCATTTTTGAAGAATCCAGGCCACTTATTTTGCAGAATCACCCTCACTTTAGGTGTGGTCGTTTGCTGACTGGACTCCAGGTAAATGTTGGACAGGAATGCTAGCTCATTAGCTGGTGGTGTGTCCTCAGCACTCTCCTGAAGGGATACATGGTGCCACTTTGTCTGATCGTTGTTAAGTTGCCTGGTTAAGAAAGACCTTACCTGCCAAATTGCACCATTTTAAAGGCACCATTACCTTTTTTTAACCTGACAAGTATCTGAAAGTGATGCTTTGAGACTCTGATGATCTTGTTCAAATCAGTCTTCCATTCAATAGCCTAGCATTCAAATACACTCTGAAAGTCTGCAAGTAAAATATTTTCTTTCTTGTTTGTTTGATTTATTTCCATGCTAGGTTTCGAAGGCATCAGCGGACCTCATGTCCTACTGTGAGGAACATGCCAGGAGTGACCCTTTGCTGATAGGAATACCAACTTCAGAAAACCCTTTCAAGGATAAAAAAACTTGCATCATCTTATAGTGGAATAGAGAAACAGCTCCTCGCCTCTTCTCAACAAAGCAAATTATGAGCAGCTCCTTGAAGAGATTTACCTTCAGCTTATTTGGTAACCACTGCTAATAACTAAAATGTTCTCAACTTGGAATAACAGACTCTGAAGTCTCTATTTTCCAAGTTGTCCTTTCTCTTAAAATACCCTTTACTGATTTAATACAGAATAACAATCTTATTTTCCACTTGGTAACTATAGCTTTATGTTGGGTTACTGTTTAAGGAAAGTTGATCTGGGCCTTTTTAAAAACATAATTATATACTTTAAATATACAATGGATTCCGATATGTCAGGACCTAAATTGCCTAAGCACCTGTCAAATTAAAATGCCAAAATTAATTGAAATCCTAAAGCCTTTATATCATATTCTTTATAAGGCGTGTGCCAGCCTGTATAGTATATAAGGGAGAGGGATGTTTTGTGTATATATATGCCTTTGTGTATACACTTATCAAAGCTATTTTCTTATGAAAACATCCCTCTTTCCATACCATCAGTTTCTCAGTTCCAGAAGTTATACCTTTACTTTGAGCTGTGTATAGGTAGAATAAAAAAATTCCTTTCATATCGTTATTGTACAAAAAGTAAAGAGTATCCTAAAGATTGTATTCATTGTAATCAAGTAATGCAGTCATCTCTCCTCTCTTGAAATCTTGCTGGACCTCTTAGGCTACAATAAACTGCACCAAGCTAAACTGACAGTCCTTCAATAATATGAGACATTAATTTACAAGGACCCTTTTGGGCTTCAATGATGCTGAGTCTGGAAAAAGGGAGGAGACCCTTGGGAGGACCCCATGCAGCTGTGCTCCCAGGGCTCATGTTCTCTACTGGATTAGGGATAGGCACCTCTGAAATCTCCACCCTGATCATTGGAATGAAACGGAGTGAACATGAGCCCAGCTGAGAGAGGAGCAGGAATGTGTGAAAACCAGCTGCTCTCCTTGTCCCAGCGTTGTGATTGAGCCCTCTGTCTTGCTCTTTCTGCCTTCCCTGTATCTTTCCTATCTTACCAGAGCATCTGTTTGCAGAATTAATACCACCTTCCCCAGCCGCAGGTGTGTGGAACACGGTGAGAAAAAAAATTTTTTTTAAAAAATGCAAAGTTGTCAGGATGCTTAAGCTCTTTTCAGATATCTGCAGTTTCATCCCTACTTTGTTCATACACCATCCAAGAGGCCTATAGGCTACCCAAGAGAGCCTTGGATTCAGTGGTACCCTCCTTGGGCCCAAGGGCTTCAGCAACTGTGTATGGAGTTCCTTGATTTTCCTTTGGTCCCAAATACAGCCCTCACACCCTTGGAATTTCCGGGTGTGGGGGTAGCCCCAAAAGGAGGAATCTCCTATGGCCAATAAGGTATCTTGACTTTATCAAAGTAGAAGAGAGAGTCACTTCGCAGTCAAATCATACACACGGCCTTTGATATTTTAATTCATCTTTAGTTCGTTAAAAGTAACTACTAAGGAAAGGTTAAAAACTTCCTCTCAAAAAGGAATCAACCCCAAGAAGCAATTATTTACAATGATTTTCCCAAATTTTGTACAATCTGTCCTGGAAAGCAAACCCCTTTTAAAATCTAATGTCTGGGCTTTGAGTATTAGCTCATTTAGGGTGAACAAAATGCATTACTGTTTTTAAATTGCCCACATTTATTCAGTATTTCTCCAAGTTGCTATCTCCTCAGCCTTGTGAATGGCCCTCACTTTTCTGAGGCCATGTGAAAATCACGGCACTGCCCTTAGCCTTGTGTCATCTGCTTTTTCGTTCTGCAATATGCCCAGTTCCCAAATCAATTGTAAGTACCTGTTTAGGAGAGAGAAAGATTTTACCTCTCAAAGGGTGAGATTGGAAATTTACACTAAAAAGACAACTTTACATTTAATGCTTCACTTAATGAAACATTCTTTTTTTATAAGTCTATTTTTCTACTCAGTTTCAGAACACTAATCTGATTTTCACTCTGATTTTTAACGTTTCTTTAAATATTTATAATGTAGCTTCTTTCAAAATATTTTCATGAAAAATTACTTTTATTATACCATTATGTGCACGTTATTGGTAGCAGGCATAGTTTATTATTTAGTACTGAAACATGCTCTTTTACCTAACGGTAAACAAGTATGTTTTGATATATATCTGTTAATATGCTTATAGTGGTAAGAAATGGACTTGAGGTCGCAGGAGATTTCATTTTCTTTGCCCTGGTCAAATACAATAAAGGCCATGAGTATAAATATGTAACTTCCTAACCAGGTGTAGGGCATGTTCATGAATATCAAATCTTTTGATGCTGGACCCAAGAGGGGAAAAATTGTAGCTAAATGTTGATTTACTTATAACTAGACGTCTGTGTGAGAAAATATATGTATACGTATATATGATATGCAGAAGTCACTTTTATTTATCAGGCTTTATTCTCCTTACAAAGCCACAGTTTAACTGTCTGCAGCAGTTGGTTTATGTTAATGATAGACAAATACCCAGGGTTTGTTATTTTTTCCAACTACCACTGTAATGATATACTTTCTCACGTATATACATGCAACTTCTTGGCTTCATTTCCATGAAGCTATTTCAATATATTCAGTATACTTTGTCCTTAATGCTGCTTCTGTTAGCAGTGATCTCTTTCTTTTTTTCATTCTTACATCTTCATTAGTTCATCATAAATCTGTCCACTTGAGGCCTCAGGACCATGGCAAAATTTCATGACTCCGAAGTATTTTACAGAAACATTTTTTAAATAAGGGAAATATTTTATATATCAGATGGTTCACAAGTGATGGGTCATAGCTAGTTTTTTTTTCCTTCTAAAAAATGTCAGGTTTTAAAAATCACTTACCTTATTAAAATGAAAAGTGCCATACTTACCTTTTAAAGGAAAGACCTGATTTGCTTTTTCTCTATTTAGACTGTTTTTGTACTTTACTAATCTTTAAACTATCAGGAAAAAAACCAAAACTTTATACCAATGATTTGGTAATTTTGAGGCATAGGGTAGCTTACATAGTGGAGGATGTGCCAAATATTCTCTTCAAATGCCACCTTCTTAACCAGTTTATAACTAAAATAGTGTTATCTGACTAATTCCTCTGAATTTTGATGTAAGATCTATACAGGCCCCCAAAATGATTATAGTACATGCCAGTCGCTTCTCAGTGAAATAAATACAATATCAGAGGACATTATGGGTTGTATTGCTTTCTTTTATGGTAGACCTGTTAATGGGGAAAAAAAATACATCACATCAAATAGAATCTTGTATCTGTGTGTTAAAATAGAGCACTTACCTGAAGTCAGTGGCCTGGATCATTTCCCAGTCTGTCCTGTGCTGTGTGACCTTGGACAAGGTGCTTCATCTCTCTGAGCCTCTGTTTCTCCATGTGTAAAACAAGGGGCTGCAGGAGATGATGGCTGAGAGCCCTTCCAGTTCCCAGATGCCTTGGTCCAAAGACCCCACCCCTCTGCTGGTCCTGCCAACGTGTTGGTGCTATAAGCTGCTTCAGATATAAAATTGGTTTATCTATAATGTTTATTCATTTAATAGCTTCTAAAAGGCCTTTTTGTTATACAGTGCTTTTTTTCTAGTTTTATGGACTTGGTTACTGTAATAATGTCTTGTTTTTAGCCATGTAATTACAAACACATATTCTCTTGATGTCTCAGTAAATTTGCATTTGATATATCATTGATGAGATTTTGTTGTTATATAATATTCTTCGGCTACTCATCTGTCCAGCATCTTATTAACCATAACACTGTGATCATTGTTTGGAAATATGTCCTATGGAAAGAATAAAAGGATTTACTTCACAGCTAGCATGTTCACAGATTTGAAAGAAGTTTCATTAAAAGCGCCATTGCTTTCTTTACTGCATCAGTGCCTCGTTGTAGCATCCTACCTGTGTTTTGCTCAATAAATGAATAAAATACCATTTCTCTTCCCCTTTCCCTTCCTTCACTCAGTTAACATTTTCTGAGCACCTCCTGGGAGCAAGCTGCTGAGAGTCAGGCTCCCATGACACCCAAATGAATAAGACACACACCAGCCCATGAGAAGGTCACAGTCTGAGCAAGGAGGGTGGGTATGACAGATATGTAAACCAATCATCATAGTATCATGTGGCAAGTGCCATAACTCAGGTGATCACAGAGTGCTGTGAGAGCCCAGAGGAAAGAGGGACTAGCTCCACATTGACAAAGACCTCCCTCTGAAAAGCTTCCAAGGGTGGTGATGTTTGGGCTGAGTGAGAGAGGAACAGTATGCGTTGGAATTGAGGTCCTGGGAGGAGATGAGAGGAGGAGAAAAGAGGACTGGAAGCCAGTGTGCAGATGGCCCCCGATCCTGCCCTCCCATCCTGCTTGCCTATCCTGAAACCAACAAGGGGGCTAGAGAGGCTGTTAAGGAGTGAGGTAATAACTCTGACCTGTGGAGGGCTGTTTCCCATCCTGAGACCAGCTGTGGCCATGGAAACTGATAACAAATGGAAAGGTCATTAGATTGGTGGTGACTCATATTCACCATGTGTTTGCTGAAGGTGCCCTGCCCCCTCTTCTGCCCATTCCCCCAGGGCTGGGATTCCCACAGAGATGAAGGGAGGGCAAAATCAAAGAACAAGGGCAGAGGCAGCCATCAAGCCCCAGGCTAGGAACCAGGAATGCTACAGAGATGGCCCCTGCTTCTGAGAACCAGCACTCCACACTTACAAGAAAGGTAGGGGCAAAAGACAGTCCCTGGGCCCTTTCTAGTAAAAGACTGAAGGATTTAAGATACATTGGTTTTGAAAAATAACCACTGAGAAGCACTTTTTACCGCTTCTGACCAAATTGCCAAGTTCTTGTAATCCTCAGTGGAGGAGAGTTGGGGATGATGGATGGGATTGGGAAGGGGTGGGTTTTTAAAAGTCGGGAGGAGGGAAGGTAATGAAGCTGGAAGAGGCAGGTGAGATGGATACTTCCTTAACATGGACAAGAAACCCAGGCCTGCGGATAGTGATTGGAACTCAGAGTAGAGATGCATGTCACGGGGGTTTCCACCTCTTCTGGATGTGTGCCATGATCAGGTTTTCCCTGGCAGGAGGGTCAGTTACACATAAACACATGGATTTTCCCTCTAAACCTTTTTATTTGGGGCTCTATAATGCTTATTTGGGGCTAGGCAACCGTTTTTTGAGTATTTGTCCCTCACTCCATATGCCAGGTTTATAATCTCTCGGCTTAAAACTCTGACTGTGTCTGTGGAGCCTGGTCCCACCGTCAGTTCTAGCTGTCTTTGTACCACCTGGCGTGGCTAGAGACTTGTGCTTGTTTTCAGAGCATGGCCATACTTGCTGCTGTACCACTTTACCACTGTGAGTAGCAAATAACCTTTGCCTTCAGATGAGCCCTCTGTTACTCTAATTACCTTCTCCTTATCTGAATGATCTGGATCATTTAAATCCATGAAGGTTGTTTGACTTTAGGCCAACCCTGGGTAAATGTGCAGTTAGTCTAAGGAACCCTCACCTCAATTGCCCATTTTTTTCAAAAAATTTTTCTGCCCTGAAGGAAAATGCAGTCCCAGTAAATTTATTGTCATGTGCAAATAACTTAATATATTGGTCAGTAGATGACCACTGGCACTGTCAAATACAACTCTGGAGAGAGTGATATTTAGTACAAAGAAGTGGAAGTTCATAGTAAAGTTTAGGCATTACTGAGAATTAATGTTACATATGAAGCATTCCTATACCCCTTAATTCCTCCTAGACAATCTACTGAATGATGAAAGCAATTAATTGGAATGGTTGACATCTATAATGGGAAGATACCAGGTAAGTCCAAGAAATTTGCAGCTGAGACGTCTGTGTGCACAATAATAGTTTTTATTTTTATTTTTATTTATTTATTTATTTACTTATTTATTTGAGACGGAGTCTCACTCTCTGGCCCAGGCTGGAGTGCAGTGGCGTGATCACTCACTGCAAGCTCCGCCTCCCGGGTTCACGCCATTCTCCTGCCTCAGCCTCCCAAGTAGCTGGGACTACAGGCAACCGGACCGCGCCCGGCTAATTTTTGTATTTTTAGTAGAGACGGGGTTTCACCGTGTTAGCCATGATGGTCTGGATCTCCTGACCTCGTGATCCGCCCGTCTCGGCCTCCCAAAGTGCTGGGATTACAGGCGTGAGCCACCGCACCTGGCCTTATTTTTCTTTTTCTTTTTTTTGAAACGGAGTCTCCCTCTGTCACCCAAGCTGGAGTGCAGTAGCGCGATCTTGGCTCACTGCAACCTTCTCCTCCTGGATTCAAGCAATTCTCCTGCCTCAGCCTCCCAAGTAGCTGTGATTACAGGCATATGCCACAAAGCCCGCCTAATTTTTTTTGTATTTTTAGTAGAGACGGGGTTTCACCGTGTTAGCCAGACTGGTCTCAAACCCCTAACCTCAGGAGATCCACCCTCCTCAGCCTCCCAAAGTGCTGGGATTACAGGTGTGAGTCACTGCTCCCTGGCCCCATGTTGCTACTTCTGATCTCTAGAGCCAACCACCTCCAACCCCTCCACACACACACCCTGCTCAGGGATAGGAGGGCATCATCCGCTAAAAGACCTTAAATATGGTCCTAACAGAAGACATTCGCCAAATATGTGATGTCACAAGGGCACTGTGGATCCATAAATTTGTGTACTGGGGCAAGCCTAAAGGAGTCACTCCCTGAACAACTGTGGGCAGTGCTACCTCCTCTAAGCCAGGCACTGACAGACTTGGTCACTAATGTCGCTGACTTTAATTAAAAGTTGGCATGTGAGATTTAGGTAGTGCACATGTTAATTTTTTAACATTTTATTATTTGGGTAGTTTTATATGTATTAGGAAAACCAGAACTAGCACAAGTTGTGATAGAAAGTTTCCTTCTAAAATAGATTTAAATAAAAAGTAAGCCAACTTACATATTTTTTAATGTCAGTATATAATAGCATACCTTTGATCTGGATATGGAAAAAATTGTCATGAAGCCCTACAATACAAGCAAGTAAAAAGCCAAGCATCCCCTTTGGGAATCAACTCCAAGAATCACCCATGTAGGCCAGGCGCGGTGGCTCACGCCTGTAATCCCAGCACTCGGGGAGGCCGAGGCAGGCGGATCACGAGGTCAGGAGATCGAGACCACCCTGGCTAACACGGTGAAACCCCATCTCTACTAAAAAATTCAAAAAATTAGCTGGGCATGGTGGCGGGCGCCTGTAGTCCCAGCTACTGGAGAGGCCGAGGCAGGAGAATGGCATGAACCTGGAAGGCAGAGCTTGCAGTGAGCCGAGATTTCACCACTGCACTCCAGCCTGGTGACAGAACCACTGTTCTCAAGAAAAAAAAAAAAAAAACAAAGAATCACCTATGTAAAGCAGACAAGGTTCACATTTCTACTTTTAACCTTGAAACATTCTCCCATGGCCAATACCCTAGAAGTGCTTTGTTCTAAATAAACATTTTAGATCCGACCTTGGTGATGTAACATTTCAACATTGGCCATGCAACATCTGTCAACATTTGTAGACATCTGTGCAAGGCAATGAGGAACACTGAACTCCAGACACTAGGCTGGGCATTGTGCATGTGTTCTCCCATTTAAAGGACTCTTTAAAGGAAAGTAGATGTGATTTAAGCCCATCTTACAGATGAGGAAACTGAGGCTCAGAGAAGCTAGATCCTACAACATAAAAGGACGGGTCCTAAGTACATACACCCAGGCAGATTCTACAGCCCATGGACTATTTTAACATTTGTAGCATGGTTTGAATAAGGGAAAAAACAAACAAACAAAAACAGTAACTTTGGTAATTGTTAGATTAAATAAAAGGTAAGGTAAACAAATAAGTCCTTTACTAATCATGGGTGTAATACCCTGGGCCTTAAGAATAAACAGTGCTATATTTCAGGCATTTACTATGACTAGGTACTGTTCTTAGCATCTTGCATCTTTTTTTTTTTTTTTTTTTTTTTTTGGAGGGGGTGGTTGTTTTTCGTTTTTGTTTTGAGACAGAGTCTTCCTCTGTTGCCCAACCTGGAGTGCAGTGGCAAGATCTTGGCTCACTCCAACCTCCACATCCCAGGTTCAAGTGATTCTTCTCCCTCAGCCCCCCAAGTAGCTAGGATTACAGACATGCACCACCACGCCCAGCTAATTTTTGTATTTTTAGTAGAGATGGGGTTTCACCATGTTGGCCAGGCTGGTCTCGAACTCCTGACCTCAGGTGATCCACCCGCCTTGGCCTCCCAAAGTGCTGGGATTACAAGCGTGAGCCACCACACCTGGCCTGCATCTGTTAGTTCATGTAATTCTCACAACAAATCCAGGAAACAGCTACTCCTATTATTCCTACTTTACATACTAGGAAATAGAAGCCTGGAGACATCCAAAAGTATATTGGATATGGTTTCAGAAAACCATTTTTCAGGGTAGCCAGTGTGACATAAGAGAAAGAATACGTATCTTGGAATCAGCAAATGCATGTTCTGGACTGATTACTATTTATTCACTGTGCAACCTTAGGACACATATTATGACCTCTGATTCTATTTCCCCATTCACTTTTTTAAAAAAGATATAGGCTAGGTAATTTTTAACATTTCCTCTAGCTTCAAATTTTATATAAATCTGTAAATCTGAGAGGAGATCAACCCTCTTGCCATCTCCACCCCAGGACATTTTACATTTTCCTCCTTGAACTGAAAATAAGGAGAAGAACCGAAGTCTAGCATATGGAGTCAGAGGAGGGCATGTGGGTTTGTTGTGTATAATTGTAGGTATTAAAAATATATTTAAAGAATCACCTCCTGACACTTCAGCTACTGGCTCATCAACAGGTCGGTAAAGAATTTTAAGGAAAAATGAATTATAGAAGAGCATTTTGAATATTGACAGCCTACCACTAACAGAATTAAGTGAGCAAACTTCTTCAACAAACTTAAAGTGTCAGTAGCACCTTATGAGTTCATAAAACGTAACTACAAAAAGAAAAATAGTCCATTCAAACATTAAATATGAATGAGAGTGCATTTGGTTTATAGAAACAGAACAAAGAGAAATGTATTTATTTGTTGAGCTCCTACTAGCACTGTGGTAGGTATGTCCTAGGATAAACCCAGAAAAGACAAGGATAGTGGGAGTGGGGGTAAGAGGGGCGTGGGCAGTAGGAAATAAACAGATAAATTCCTATGCAATATGGTAAATGCTATCATAAGAAATTGTTCTGCCTGAATGAGTCAGAAAAGATTTAACAGAAGAGATAATACATTAGTTGGACTTTGAAGAACGAGTAGGAGTTTGTTGGTAAAGAACAGGGAAAGGATATTCTCAGCAGTGAAAAAGAGTGTGCGCAAAAGCCCCAGGATCTAAGGAAGCATGGAGTGTCAGAGTAGCAGAGATCTTTGCAACAGAAGTATGGGAAGGTGAATGTGGACAAGGCTGGGAAGGAAGGTTGGGTCAAATAATCAAAGGCCAAGAGTTTGTATTGAATTATATGGGGGAGAAGGGTAGTTAGTAAGAGATTTTTAAGCAGGGTCTTGACATGAAGATAGTTAGAATGAACAAGGATAATAAACTAGTGAAGAAAAACTGGAGGATGTGTTTCTAATTTCTGTGGGGAGTGGGGAGTGGGGAGTGGGGGGTGATATTCACTATTCTTTTATTAGTTCTTCAACTCCTTTCCATTCCAAATCCGCATCACTCTCCTCCAACCCCACCTGCTATTTACCTCTTCTGTGATCTGTTTCTGTCTACCTCTTCAGCCTGCCTTTCTCCACTCCCTTCCTTAAATACTTAATCCCCTAACAAACACCACAGAGCCCCACACATGCCACATCCCTCACCCCAATGAGCTCCTAAATGTACTTTAAGACTCACATCAAGCATCACCTTCTCCTGGAAGGCTTCCTGACCACCCCCTACACGCACACGCACACACACACACACACACACACAAACACACACACACATTGTGCATACCCATGCTTGCCATGACACCACTCTGGCTTGAAAATTATCTGTGTCTGTCAGCTTCCTATAGTTCCTACAGGAAACTGCAGGTAGGAACTGTGTCATAATCATCTTTATGGAGTAAGCTCTAGCACAGTACTTGATACCCAGTACTTATGTTCTCACAACCTTGATTTTGAACAGAAACTGTTCTGATAACCTAAATGAGAGATAAAGAACTAAATTGAGTTAATGGAAATGGAGAGGGGAAACTAGATTAGTAAAAATTAACATAATTTAATTGGGTGGTGTCTTGCTGAATTCAGTTATGTTGGGCCATGTAGTTTACTGGGTGGTTTCTTTTTTACTTATATAACTAATTTGCAAACAGAACAATTAAATATGAATGGAATATAAACATGCATAGAAAATCACCAGTTCATGGAAGATGCAATTATTATTCGCTTACATATGTTGACTGCTTCTAGGAACTGAGCTAGGTTCTTCCTATGCATTGTTTCCTTTCTTTTTCACCATAACCCAATGATATAAGTCTTGTTTATTTCCCTCATTTTACAGGAGAGGTAACTGAGGCTTAGAGAAGTTACACTAACTTTCCCAAGTTCTAGCTAGGATCCAGGATTCAAGCTCAAGTCTTTCTGCCTCTAAGAGTCCACTGTCTTTTTTCTTCATTTTTCTTATTCTTTTCTTTCTTATAAAGATAGGGTCTTGCTATGTTGCCCAAGCTGATCTCAAACTCCTAGCCTCAAACAAGCCTCCCAGCTAGGCTTCCCAAAGTGCTGGTATTACAGGCTGGTATTAAGACAGCGGCCTGGAGTGGCGGCCACTGTCTTAACTGCTGTACTCTTGTTCGTATCTTTCACTAGCCCTGTCCTTCACAGTTATATAAAGACGCAAAATCAAATCAGAAGACTTCCTCAGATGACCCATTTCTTGCTGAGTGCTTATTTCGATGATGGTAAGATGATTACAATATGGTGATATAATCATGTGTTAAGTGATGATACTAAGAAGTTTGCTGCTTTTCTTACAAATTCTTTCTCAGACAATGCTAGAAAAGATATTAGCATAAAAGCATACAGGGACACAAAGGTCACCTTTCCAATGATGCTTAGAACTTTCCCAGTTCTCAGATGAAAGAAGACAATTCTTAGAATTCTCGCCTGCCTGTTTTGTGTGTCCTTTAGCTTTCCCAAGGCTCTGCCCCACTTATTGGATAAGTAAAAGATTCGATTCAATTAGTTTCATTCTTCCCCAGCCTAATCTCTGCTGTCTGGTTGGCCTCTTTGAGAGACTGACCTAGCATCAAGAGGACTGAGTTCACAGGAAAATTCTGATTCTTCCACTTCCATGGGATCTTGGAGGTGTCTCTTGATTTCTCTGAGCCTCAGTTGCTTTAGCAGAGAATCAAATGAATTAATAAATGTGAAAATCCATGAAAGGCAGAAAGTACTAGTGGTTGTAAGAAAAATGGAAGTGGCCAGGCACAGTGGTTCACACCTGTAATCCCAGCACTTTGGGAGGCTGAGGCGGGAGGATCACCAGGTCAGGAGTCCAAGACCAGCCTGGCCAACATGATGAAACCCTGTCTCTACCAAAAATATAAAAAATTAGCCGGGTGTGGTGGCACACACCTGTAATCCCAGCTACTAGGGAGGCTGAGGCAGAACTGCTTGAACCCGGGAGGCAGAGGTTGCAGTGAGCCGAGATCGTGCCACTGCACTCCAGCCTGGGCAACAGAGCGAGACTCGGTCTCCAAGAAAAGAAAAAAGAAAAACTAAAACAGGAAGCCCCACTTACTTCTCAGCACCTACTATGCGCCTGACACTGAGAAGTACTCATTGTATAACAATAACAGATTTTAATCATGCTTGTCAGCTTCTCCCTCATCTTCAAAGTGCCTAGCGCCATGTCTAGCACATAACAAAGGCCAAGAGTTTGTATTGAATTATATGGGGGAGAAGGGTAGTTGGTAAGAGATTTTTAAGCAGGGTCTTGACATGAAGATAGTTAGAATGAACAAGGATAATAAACTAGTGAAGAAAAACTAGAAGATGTGTTTCTAATTTCTGTGGGGAGTGGGGGTTGATCTGTCAGTTCGAGAGGTAAGAACCATTCTGTTTGCAGACTCTTCTACCTTTTTTGCAGTGATCACCTGAGTTAACTTGTAAATTCTCTGTCTCCAGGTAGCAAATGGTTCTGGTACACCTCTTCCTGGGAATCCCTGCAATCTTCGCAGAGAAATATGCATCCTTTTGGTGGGCTAACATCAAGGGAAACTGGAAACTGATCATGTAGAAGCTTCTCCCTCTCTAATCCCTCAGATTTGTAAACAGAGCTCCGAGAGACCATTCATTGTTTCTCAAACTTCCCTTGTAAGAATTACCTGAATTACTTGTTAAAAACATATACATATGTGTGTGTGTGTATATATACATATATATGTGTGTGTGTGTATATATACATACACATATATGTATAGAGAGAATATGTGTGTGTATATATATGTATATATATACACATACATATACATATATACATATATACACATATATATATACACATATATATATGTGTGTATATACACACACACACACACATACATATAATGTTTTCTTTTTCTGGGGCTTGAATCAGGAAAAATAAATTCTGAGCCTTATTCCAGCCCCACTTAATCTAAAGCTTCTGGGAATAGGTCTTGAAAGTTATATTTTTAACAAACACCCCAGGGCCTTATTAGCATCCAAACAGTTTGAGAAATTTTGATAGTGTAAAACACTTCATTTTACACAGGAAGATTCTAAGCCCCAGTCTGAGTCGGTGGGGTGGGGGCGAAGGGTGGACCTCACATGCCTAACAGGATTAGGGAGGGAAGCTTACATGAGTCCAGCAAACTAGAGTTACAACAGGGAGGGGTGAGGTCTGTGGCAAACTGGAAATCTGAGACTAAAAGGGAGGGGCCTCCTCTCGGCTCCAGCCAATTGCCGCCATGCAGAGTGTGGACCCACTGTTGCCAATATAGCAAATTTTCAAGAGACAATAGAAGTCTGGATTTTGCTAAGAAATTTTCCCATTTTTAAATGTTTATAACTGATTTTTGAAAATTTTTAAACATTGTGTGATCCACATTTCTTTTGGCTACCAGTTTCCACCCTCACATTAGGACTTTGTAAGCTATAGCATCATCTTTTTGTTGTCTGTCTCTTGGTGGTGCCAGCATCTGTCTCTTCTCTTAGTTTTTGCCAATTAATTTTAATGGCTTTCTATCATCTAGTAGAAAAGAAGCTTGGCCTGCAGGAAAATCATGCTCCGGTTTCTACCATCTTTGCCACTCCATCACCCATCACTGGAGGACATGTTTGCATCCTGGTCTTGCCACTCGCAATATGATTCTGGGCAAATTAAGATCTCTGTGTATCAGTATTTTCACTTTCAAAATGGGGCTAATAATAGTAGCTACTCCCACAGGGTTGTTGAGAATGCTCATGAGTTCCTGTCTATAAAATGCTTAGATCAGAGCTCAGGATGTAATAAGTCTTGTATGACTGTTGCTGTCCCCCAAAAGCTAGCTCCAAACACGCTTTCAGTGTGTACTTTCCTGAGCTATTGTTCTTCCTCCTGGAGTAAATGCCCTTCACATTCACCTGGCAGATCTCTTCATCTTTCAGGTCTCACTGAACCTGGCAAACATTCCCTGGCCCCAGGAACACTTAGGTCTTGAATATACCTCATTATCACTTACCACCTAGTATTACAGGTATCAGGTATCCCTACTAAATTGTACACATCCTTAAAGACAGCTGCTTTTTCACCTTTGTGGCCTTGGAACCTAACACAGTGCCAGGAAAATGATATGCATTCAGTAAACAGCATGATTGAAATGAACATGCTTATCTTTTCTTTAATGTGCTTAATGATTTCCTTATAGATTGTCAACTTAAGGACAAATGCTGTAATAGGCTACATCTTTGTATTCTTTGTAGCACATAGGAGAATTATATTCGACATTCAGTCAGTCAATTGATCACATTTTTGTGCTGTTTGCAAAATACAATGCTAGCTTATGAACAGAGAGTTTACAACCTTTTTCTCCATTCCATTCTTGTATGCCTTCTGGAGATTTCTATCCTTTGAACTTCCGGAACAGTTCTCTGGGCCTTTCTTATGTTGCTGGTAATTTTCTGCTTTGTATTCATGTAGTAATTCATGATACAAAGTCCTTGAGGCCAAAGTGTGTGTCTGATTTTTTTTTTTTTTTTTTTGTAGACTTCAATATAACCAGCATAGTCCCTTGCCCACAGTAAGCACTCACTTAATATTTCTTAGTGGTTTTCATGAATAAAACCTTTTCACAGAGGTTCTTATGTTTACCAAAGTATTGTTAAAAAGAAAAAAGTATTCACTTCTTTGAGGGATACTTGCTTGGTGTCAAATCATGCCACTGAGTTTTGTTCATTTGAAGGAAACCTCTCTCTCACATTTCAGTCTTTTACTATATACCGAAGAATAAAATTCAACCTATGTAATTGAGAAGTAAGCCATTATTTCACAAAGGCTTCAGTAACTCATCTCAAAACATGCTTTGGAAATATTTTCAACTGATAGTATACAAATAATTCTTTCCTAAAAATGACCCTTTTTCCCTGATTTGGGAACTAAGGTATGTATTATAGGAGATTAGCTACTTTCATTATAAAAGTTTAACTTGCTAAGAGCCTTGGTTAAGTGTGGAGAGGAGGAAGCAATGCTATTTATGACACTGAGGCGAAGTTGCCAGTGGAAAAAACAGGTATTTTCCACTTTTCAACATTCAATACACCTTAGGTAGATGAGGGGATTTTTGTTCCTGTTGTAACATAGCTTGCAATAAGTAGATTTAATGGTTTTTAAGGCAACAACTGAAGAATATTGGCATCAATTCGAGATAGAAGCCATCCAGGTAATTTTATACTTGTTTAAAATTAACTGTTTCATGATTGGGCTTTTCAATGCTGTGTTAACTTTCTGTTATGCTCAATCAGGAAAGAAAAACAAGAGTTTAAAAAGTTTGAAGAAACCAGACAGCACTGCAGTAATTGTTGAGATTTTCCTCAAAACAATCTGAAGAATGTATAAGTACTATTACAGATATCTAAGCATTGTGAATTTAGAATAAAGCTCAAAAACTCCTTTTGAAAAACATAGTTATATAGATGTACATGTCATAACACAGATCTCTCTGATGCCTTCAGTTTTCCTATTGCTATCACCTGGGTTTTAGTAATAGCCACACTCCATTGAGCATCTATCATGTGCCAGGTAGTTTGTATTCATTATTTCTAATCATTCATTTATTCAGTAAATATTAATTCAGCTCCTACTACTTGCTGGCACTTGTGTCAACTACTGGGCTACAATAATGAAGCAGATATTACCTGCCTAAGGGAGGTTGCAGAGTTGTAGGAGAGGCCACAAGTCTGCAAGATAGGTAATCTTATCTCCATTTTACATGAGTAAAACAGGATGAAGAAAGACTAGTCAAGGCCAGCTGCTATTGTGTTTGTTCCACTAAGTGAAGCAGCTTTATCCACTCTGTACCCACTTTAATTCATTCATCCCAGCAAAAGGGTTTTTACCAAATTATTGTGAAAAGGGGCTGAAAAAACCTTACTTTAATGGGAAGGCAAAACACCTTGCTATTTAAAACTCACTGCTCTCAATCTTTTGGTAATATAAGAAACAAATATTAAATACCAGTTATGTTTTGGAGTGGGCATTGGATTTTAAAAAGATACAAGAAGCCTACGTAAGCCTAAAAACCCACATTTCTAGCAGATGTAGAAAAAGTCACTTGTGAAAAGACACAAGCAGCCTAAACGAGGCCTAAAAACTCACATTTCTAGCAGATGTGGGGAGAGAGAGTCATTTGCAAGGTGAAGGTCTCATGGACCTATGTATTCATAATATATGCGGAAACTTGGAGCTTTTTGTTGCTATTAGTGGGTTTTCCCTACCCGTTTTCCTGATTGTATGTAGTCATGACTAGGATGAAAGACAGATGGCAGGGGAGCCATAAGGGGATGGTTTGAGAAATAGGACAAGAAAATTCCTGTGGACTAAAGCAAGGCTAGGCCTTGCCTCCATAAGCATTTTTGCTTTCTTTGGTCTATGTCTACAAGGTTGTTGGAGTTAATTATCAAGTGACTGTTCCAACTAAAAATGATTGTTCTACTGAAGCCTTTTCTTTTGCTTTTCTTCTCTGCCATCTATTCCATCTGATATAATTTAAGTGGACCCCTCAGTACCATAGAAATGGTCAGCTGGAAAGCACAAAGCTTTAGGAAGAGACTGGGGGCACCAAAAAACGTTGCCTGGCCACTTCCCTGTTTGCTCTGTAAAAATGGTTCTGCAAAATGCACAGCCTTGGATTCTTAGTCACTTCCTAATTGGCCTTGTCACCTACAGCTGCTCATCCCAATTATCATCTTTCACAGATCCTGGTGTTAATTTCCTAGAACACTGATCATGCCACTTCCTTCAAGGGCTCCGCTATCTGCCTGAAGTTTACAGAAGGAAGCCCAAATGCATAAGGGTGACACAGAATGCCCTTCACAGCCTGGGCCTAATCCCCACCTTCCTTCTCAGCCCTGTCGCTCCCTTATCTTTCTACACCAGAGGCACACACAGAATCACTCTGTTTTTACGGACCTGGTTGTGGTATTTCAGGCCTCCACACCTTTGCACAAACTAGTGCAGCTGCTAGCAATATCCCTTTGCCCTCTGTAACTAGGGAAATAAAACTAAGACCAACATAAAATGATCTCTCTTCAATAAAAACTGGTAGGTAGCTTTGGTCACTCTGTCCTCTCTGCCTCCTCAACCTTTTGTGTATAATCTTATTTTGGCACTACTATCATTGATCTTTAATTATTCAAATTTTGCAAGCTGAATCTCTAACCATCCCTTTTTCCTAACTCCAACTCCTTTAAGTCATGTGCTTTCTGACTATAGACCTGGTATAGAGCAGAGCGTCAGTAAAATGTTTTAAAAAGTACGAGTTAAAAGAAACAAGAGCACACAATAGGAAATGATGCAATTATTCATACCAGTTTATTGTAGGTATTGTGTTTCAAAAAAATTTATAGCATAAATAACTTTTCATGTCATAAAATAACTTAGTAGAATTTATAATAAAACTTTGAGAATTTAATATCTCATCAAAATACAATAAAATATGGTTTTCAAATATGATTAACCCTTTAGGCTTTTCTTTTACTTGAGGGCATATAAACCAAAAATACCCAAACTATGGCTATACTTTTAAACTTTAACAGATTTGGTTTATTTTAATGTAACTCAACCATTCTAAATTAATACATAGTTTTCCTTCCTGCATGGTTCTTT